ACTGTGCCTCGCCCCTTTTGCTGCATTTTTGGATTCCGAATCAAAATACCTCAGTGAATCCATGAGGTTACGATTTCTACCGTCATTGATGTGCATGAAACTAATCAACGCCTCTCCGGAAGAATATCACCAAAAGAGTGGAGCGTTGCTCGTTGGAAATCCATGTCTAGAAGCGTTTACCACCTTGTTCGGAGAGAACAAATTTTCACCCTTACCTTTCGCCGAAAAGGAAGTAAAGATGATCGGAGAAATGCTTGATATCCACCCACTCACTGGAAAAGAGGCAACTAAGGCTGAGGTGTTGAAAAGAATTGGTTCGGTTGCTGTGGTGCACATTGCTGCGCACGGAAAAATCGACACTGGAGAAATTGCATTGGCTCCCAATCCAGAGCGAAAATACAGAAGACCAGAAGAACAAGATTTCAGGTTAACAATTCCCGATGTACAAGCAGCAAAGTTGCGTGCAAAGCTTGTTGTGTTAAGTTGTTGTCACAGTGCTCAAGGCAAGGTGTCTAGTGAAGGTGTGGTCGGCATTGCACGGGCTTTTCTTGGTGCTGGTGCTCGTTCTGTTCTGGTAGCACTCTGGTCAATTGAAGACGAAGCTACCGTGGAGTTTATGAGAAGCTTTTACCGAAATCTGAAGGACGGAAACAGTGCCAGCGTGTCACTCAACCGGGCAATGAAATGTCTGCGTGAATCAGAAAACTTTAATGCCCCGCGGTTCTGGGCTCCGTTTGTACTCATTGGTGACGATGTTACACTAGATTTTGGACAAATCTCTAAAGAATCGTAAGTAGCAATTTGTATACACAATTTTACTAATTGTATATTTGAAAAAAGGTTGGTAAACTTCACTTTTTAAAAGGTGATGAAAATTCACTCTCGGATATGAATTTCCGCAAGTGATCTGATTTGTTCTGCTATTCTCTGAGTTATATTCGTCTTTCCTTTTAGCCGCGAAAACAAGACCTATAAAATCCTTTCACGCCAACAAGTTTACGTCACCAGTAGATTTCAAAACGTTGCTTAGTTCAATGACTGTAATGTTCCTTTGATTTCAGATCCCAAGGAAAAGAAGCATCAATAACTGAAGTTGAGGCTCAAGATGAACATGAACACATGCCATAAAATGAAAGTTCTAGCGTGCATTGCACTGATGCAGTTTAGTAAATACTAGTAAAGTAACGTTTCGAAAGGAAAACACTAAGAGAATGCGTAAACACCTGTCGACTTCACGTGGGTCTCGGTGGTAAGTTATCTGGATAAAAATTCGTCAGAGAATTGCTGAAAAGTAAATAGAGAATTCCTTAATTCCTTGATACAAAAGTCTAACCGTCAAATTCAAGTTTCCAGTTGCAATCTCAGTTATTCCGGTGTACGTTTGGCTTACGCCAGGACACAGGGCGTATTTAAAATGATGAAATCTTAATTTTTTTTAATCAATTACTTTTTTACACATGAAAATTGACCCATTTAATCAAGCCGAGATTCGCGCCAACTGCTGATCATCTCGACCTGCACAAATTACCAGAGACCAGCGAAGGTTACAGGTCACTTCTTAGCTCGAAAAGATTTTCTGATTGTGTTTCAAGTTTAGCTTCAGAAATGATCGACATGTACATATTTTAGATTCTTAGTGTAGCTCAATTACTAAGTAAGGCAAACTACAAATGCGTATCCTTTGTAATGAGCTGAAATGAAAGCAAGAATGGCTGAAATATTGAATTTTTTCTCTCTTTTTTGAATATTTTCAAACATGAAAAGAAATGATCGTTGCAGGTAAACTGCAATTAAAGAAATAAAGTCTGAAAAACACCAGGCTTCCACGGAATTCGAAACCCGTGCCTCCCAGACTCCTTAACCTCGTGCTGGGAGCGAGGCAGAGTTCAAAGGGTTCCTCGTTCCATAACTGTGATTCTTTTCGTTGTTTGAAAGATAGGCATGATTGTTCGAACAATAAGACATTAAAATAATTTTCTTAAATCGAAGTATTTTCAATTTAAAGATGGTTTTGTGATTGAAAAAAGTGCACGCCGGCAAAAGTAAGGCATTAGAGTTTCAATTAATTTCCCTTAAGTTAAACGTAGTATTTTGCATAATTGCTTTACGTCGGCTTTAGTGAATTTTTTTGGTGGAATTGACATAGTAAGAAGCGAAAATGAAAACATGTAATCTTAGCAGACTATTTGTTTTAATAAAGCTTAATAGATTGAGATGAAGTATATTGCTATCATTATATTTCGAGGGAAATTTCACGTCAAATTCGACAACGACAAACAAACAAACCAGGTGTAGAAAAATTAATACCGTCGAGGCTGGCACCTTGATTTCTTACGGGAAGGAGCCATTAATTATTATTATTGAGAGGCTCCTTCTTCCCGGATAATAAAAAGACGAAGAAAGAAATGAGAAAAAAGTTTTCCTCCAAAATTTGACTCCGTTCCATCTATTTTCTCTCTCTTTTTTCCTCTTTATAATTCCCCGAACGATCCAAATTCGTCTAAAGGGACCTAATGGAAACTAAAGCTCAAAAGAACACTTTTTCCAGAGAGTGCATTAATTTTCTCGAGAAGTTTACCATCAAACGAATTCTATTACTGGCCCCAGTTTTCCTCTCGTCTTCTCTTTTCAAGCCAGGTGTGTAACCTGTTAGGAAACCTTGCGAAATTCTAAGTAGGAGGGGGGAGGGGTAAGTCACGACAAACTAACATCCCATCAAGGAGGGGGGGGTAACCAAAGTCCTGGTACCTTCACGCGACAAAAACATCACCGTGGACCGGTAATGGGGGCCATTTTGAGTTAGCTTGTGCGCACACTCTATCTTGCTTAGCCCCGGTTGATTAGGTAACCGATCATTGAGAAAGAGAAGTCGACTTGGAAGCCTTTAAATTTTAATGACATAAAAACATAAATAGAAAATAAACCTGATCTTCTCTTTATCTCTTTATGCTGTTCTGCCTTGATGTCACAAGAGGACATTTTTTCCACGTCCCCTTAAGTTTAGCTATAGTGGTTTACACGGCCATTTTCCTGGCCTGTTCCTCACTTGTTTGTCGGCCACGGGTTCTTGAGGCTATTGGCTCTTCACGTGTTACCTTCACCACCTAATGGGCGGCTCAATACCACCATGACCTTGATCAGGTTTGATTAGTTAACATTTTTTTGTCTGGAAAACTCTTCGAGGCCCTGTCCTCTTCCAGTTCATCTGGTTTGTTTGTTTTCTTTGTTTGTTTGTTTTATTCTTTTTATTTTTTAATCAATCCAGACCGTGAAGGATGTAAATTCTTCTGCGGTTCACAAGCACCTTCACATCACAGTCCGGGTCAATATATTCGTTATCAATACCTCTTACTAACCAAGTTCGGGGGTTGTACTGTACGTTTCGGACCGAGTTTTTTCCTCTCGGAATTATGGCCCCAGCGCGGATCAATAGATTCAGGATAAGTTAATTCTTATTATCACAGAGTTGCAAAGTTTGAAACTTTTTTCTCCTGATTTTAATCCTTCCCGCCAAAGGTGGGATTTATTAATTTACAGGAACTGAAACTTGCGTAACACTGCAACATTCTTCTGCCAAATTATTTAAATAATTCAAAGACTGAACTTAACAAGGTGACGCCTATATTTAAGAGAGTGGAAAAAGTTTAAACTAAGTACAGAGGTGTTTCGGCAAGTCTAAACTCGGTTGGAAAACCATCTTTAGTGAAAATTTTTTGAAAAGGGATTACCGTTCAATTAAAAAATCACTTTTAGATTTGGTTATTAGAAAGCAATGCACACGTAATTTTTACGTAAACAAAAGTAAATCAAGCAATACGTTTCGCTTGATTTGGTAAACATCCCAAATTGCTCGGGCTGAAACAAATCAGTTTCCCAAGAGAAGAGAAGATTTACCGGTTGTAGCCTGATGGCTTAACCATTTGGAGCATATAGACATTTGAAACTTTATGATATATATTCTATTATTAATGATATTAATTTTCCATGTTACGAAGAGTAAATCGGGCGGTAGCAAACTATTCAAAATTAAATCCCACGCCACTTTATACAGGTATCGCCCAGATATTATACATTGTCGTGGTTCTGTAATTGGAGTTATTATCTCTCATCAGCCCCAATTTTAAACACTGGCCTCTGCCAAACCAGTTTATACGTGAACTACAAACTTAACTATTAAAAACATTTGCCTACAGCGATTTTTAAACGTCAAACGTACGTGACGGCAGAACTTGCGTGTTGTTCGTTTCACCAAAAGTAAACAACTTGAAGTCGAATTCACATTCTCACGTGATCGCTCACGAGCTGCAGCCTCGCTGTGGCGAAGCAATGAATTTGATGATATCATTCAGATTCGACAAGTGACCGCAGAAAATTTTTAGTTTTGCTTTTACAGTTGCCTGCACTTCAGGAATGGCTTCGTTCTTTAAGGTAGTCTATCTTTGTTCTGTGAAATGGATAATTTGAAGTGTGGTTATTTTTGGAGCTTCAGCAAGTTGGAAAGATCTTCGACAATCTTGCCTTAGTCTAGCCGGTCAAACGAAAACAATTTGAGGATCTGGTACCAATCACGTTTCATCCTCTTCGAAGGCAGCAATTTTGAGTCGTTTAAGGATTAAGCAAGAGCGTAATGGCATCTGTGAAAGTAGCAGTGAGAGTGAGGCCTTTCAATCAAAGGTAAGACGCAATTGTTAAGTTAGCATCCTAAAGTTTGAGTCAGTTGAGTTGGCGTTATTCGTTTATCTTTCCGTGTCACGATTTTCGGCTTTGCAGGGAAAAAGGCATGGGCGCTCAATCTATAATCGAGATGGAAGGAAAGAAAACAACCATAATGAATATCAAGGTAGACATATTTAATCGCAAATGTGCTTTTGTTAAGCTTGCTAAAATGTTGTAACTTTATGAATCAGGTGTCGTGTAGAGTGACCATCAAAAAACGACGAAAGTAATGTGTAATACAGCAGGTCGAGTTCGTTTATTCAGTATTTTTATTTCAGGCAAATGCATTAACTGGTGATGGAGAGAGGCGAAATCGCGTGAAGGATTTTTCTTTCGATTTTTCCTACTGGTCTGTTAACGAGAGAAGCCGACACTATGCTTCACAAGAAAGGGTAAGATTTGCATAAGCGCACTTGTCTAGTACATTCCATGATCAATCGAGCACTTGATCGCATGCTCGATTGTTTTTACAATGATATTCATGTATGTTCTTGCAAGTTTTGACATAAATTTCTTTACAAACCTGTCGATTTTCCAATCATCGCTGAAAAGTTAATCCAACGTCCCAGTGGGTGACATGGCGTTCCCGAGAAACGACCCACTTAAATTTAAGAGCCATTGTAGGCCCTTCTTCGAATCGTTGTTTACGTCCGTTATTGTCACTTGTATATTGATCTCATGACCAGACCGGCTCATCTAAATTTAAGAACTAAATTTCCGGACGTTTCCATTGTCCTTTCAGTTTGAGAGCAATCCTTGATTTTATTCGGATAGGAGTAATTTGCAAGTCAAACGATTGTATTTCAGCTTGATCAGGGTTAAAAAAATATAGTTTTATTGTCTAGTTTCAAATGAAAACATTAATGTAATGCATTCTTTAACGTTATAAATAGATTGCTTTGTTCTGAATTTAAACACAAAGGGTGATTCTCTCGGAAGAAATTCTGTTGTGCTTGGTAACAAATTTAGCAAGTTAATTATGTATATCATGCTGATTTTTAAACTCAAACAGCTGGTCATGTATGTAATCGTTATTTGAAGCCACGGGAGATTGTCAGAATTATTTGTTTTGATCAGGGGGAATAACTGTAAAAAATTTCATTTGCATGGAGTAACAATTCAATAATTTTTCAACAAAAATAACTGTAAGTAAGAGATTATGAATCGATCAAATTTCTATTAAGTCAATCAATCAACACTTTCTTTCATTTACTCTCAAATCATTCATTTGTCATAATCAGGTTTGTTTATATCTTCTTTTTGGCATTATACTTTGAAATAACTTACATTTATCCAGTGAAGATACATGTAAGTTAGGTTGTGGCATTAAAATGGAGATGATTATTTTTACTTTGTCTGGGAAAGAAACAACAACTATCAATGCCAAAATTTCTGAACCATGTTTTGCCACA